AGAGACAGGGTCTCACTGAGTTGCTTAGGGCCTTGCTAAATTTCTGAGGCTGGCTTTGAACTCCCGATCCTTTTGTCCCAGCCTCCGGAGACACTGGGATTACAGGTGTACGCTATGGTACCAGGCTTGACCCAAGTTTGTTTTTTTAAATAATAACACATATAACATATGTGTATAGAAAATGGCTTAAAAGGTGCTCATTTCATTTTGTCATCTATAAACTTCAAAATTGACCAAATGTTTTACTATATGACATCAGATTGGACAGAGGAGAGTGAGAGGAAGGGAGGGGGGATGGGAATGGGAAAGACAGTAGAATGAATTGGACATCACTTTCCTAGTTCATATATATGGATACACGACCAGTGAAACTCCACATTATGTACTACAAGAATGGGAAGTTATACTCCATGTATGTATGATCTACCTGTCGTATATGACTAGAAAGAACAAATAAAAAATTAGAAAAAAAAACACTTTAGGGCCTGGGGGTGTAGTTCAATGGCAGAATACACACATGCTTTGCATGTGTAAGGCCCTGGCTTTGGTCGAGAGAGAGAGAGAGAGAGAGAGAGAGAGAGAGAGAGAGAGAGAGAGAGAGAAAAAAAACCTTTTAGACATTAGTAATTAATAAATGAGCTTTGCACTCCCCAAGCATCAATCAGCCAACTGTCCCTGGTCCCCCATCTCCTGCTCCCTTCCTTTCAGTCTCCTCCTCCTTCCCTTGTTATGTTTGGACCTCAGACTCCAGAGCTGGCTGCAAAGACTCCAGAACCCCTCCAAACCACATGCACTAATCCTCCCTAATCCCACTCCCAGGCAGCTCATGCGGCTGCTGTCTGCTCCCGTGAGGAGCCTTTGGTTTCTGCCCATCATAAAGACAGAAGCAGCTGGGCCCCGCTGAGAACTCTGACACATGACAGCCCCAGAGAGGCCTGGCCCCAGAGAGCGGTTCCTTCTCCCTGGACACACTCATCAGCAAGGGCATTCTGAGCTGGGTGGACTCTGAAGCTGGATTTCCTAATACACAGAGTAACAAGTGCTGCTGGGGTCACCAGTGAAGAGGGACACTCAAAAAAGTGAGGCAGGGGGGAAAAAAAAAGGTAGAATGTGATATTTAAACAATGAAAAGGCCATTGTGGGGAAAACCAGAGTCTTCATTGGGCTGACTTTTAAATGTGGTTTTTATTGTATTACACATGGAGGAAGGGGCCCCTCCGTCCTTTCCAGCCTGGGCTCCTGAAGGACCCTGCACCTCCACACAGAGGGCAAGTTTTCTGGCTAGAGCTTCTGAGGAAGGGGCTCCTCCAGGTGCAATCTCTCAGCAGCCAGGCAAATGGGTGAGGGGGAGAGAGACTTAAGAGAGCCACCGTGTTCCCAGGAGCACCAGGCAACTGTATGTGGCCCCAGGCACTTGGGCCTCTGACTTCAAGATGAGTCTACCTGTGTACACTACGTCCTGTAGGCCTGCATGAATGAGTCAGCCAACTTCAAGGTCCTTTTCAATCCAAGTTTGATTCATCGAGCCTATAACCAAAAGGAAATACTTGTGGAAGCCTGTGGCTCGGTGGTGATCTGGGCCATCAGGCGAGCTCTCTGGAGGAGGTGAAATTTGAATTGTACCTTGAAAGACCAAGAGATAAGGAGGAACCGAGAGAAAGAAGCCAGGGAGGCCCCATGCCTCTTCTGCTCCACTTTCTCCTTGAATCAGCCTGCAGGAACCCAGGGCTCTGGGTGGGGCCTCAAGAGGAGGCAGAGTCTCTGCTTCTTGCTGGTCTCCCTGAGTGAGTGTCAAGGCCACCTCTGGACCCACTGCGTTAGCTCTGCCTCCTCTAACCTGACTCTGAGGTCCCCCGTCTTTCTCCGAAGCCCTGAGGCCCGGTCCTCTGGACATCACAGCTCCAGGGCAGAGGTCCTCAGGCCTTTGTCCTTACTCCTTTGGGGCTCTCCATCTGGAAGTGTCGCAGAAAGACCTGGGGAGCCTTAAAACACACAGAGCCCAGGCCCCAGCTGCAGACTCCAGAATCGGTCCGACCTGGGGCTCAGCTTGGTGAAAGCTCTTCCAGGAATGCAGTGGCCACCAGGATGGGAGACCAGTGGCCACTGTCAGGGAGGGGGAAGTGGGGCAAGAAGGAAAGGGGGTGGACAGTGCCCCAGGAAGAGCCCAGGAGCTGGGCAGGTGGAGAAGGCTCTGCAGAGAGCATATGGTCACGGCAACAGCTGAACTTGCCTGTGTCCCCAGACTCCTAGGCAGGGCCCAGGACAACTGTTCACATCATCCAAGGCAGGAAGGCACAAAAGGCCCCCAAAGAGGGCCTTCTGATGAGTTGGTGCCTCCGTGAGAGCAGACACTATTGCGTTTGTTCGCCCTTGTCTCCTCGGCACCTGCTACCTAGTAGTTGCTCAATAACCACCTGTTGCATGAAAGGACTGAGTGAAGTTGCACTGCCTGTCCTTTCTGTCACCCTGTAAGGTTCTCTCAGCTGAGGGTTCCTGTCGAGAGCAGAGGTAAACCAGGGATGCCGAGGGGAACTCTGGGAAGGGGAAGAAGGATGTTTGGCCTGAGCTCCTCTCTCATCCTTCCATCTGCTTCCTCTGGGTTCTGGAGTCTGGATATAGGATATGTGTGTTGGGGGAGGTTGCAGCTGGCTCCCCACAGCTGCCCTTCCAAGTTAGAAGGCTAAAGGAGGAAGGAGAGGAGAAAGAGGAGGAGGAGTGGGGTAGGAGAGGAGCCAGCAGAGAACAGAGGCGCGTGCAGGGAGCAGGCCGTGGGCGCCAGCAGATTGGAAGGTAATGGTCTGTCCAGAGAGAAAGAGGAATTCTGGAGGGGGCAGCCACATGGTCATTAGCCCCTCTAAGAGCTCAGCCCTCTGGAGCCTGGGCGTCCGTCTGTAATTCTTGCAAGCATCTTGGCTGATTCATGGGAAATATCCTCGCAGCATCTGCATTGAGTCTCCTAATGCAGAATCCTTGGTGAAGTCCACGGAGGGCCCTAGGCAACAGGAAATTCCTCAAAGAGGTCTCCACCTCAAATACATTAGACACAGGAGCCTCGGTCAGTCCTAGAGTGGTATTGGACGGAGAGGACAGATCCGAGGGAGCATCCCTTTGGTCAGATACAGCTGGAGGCCTGAGTTCTAATCTTGCCCTTAACTATTGGTAACATCCTGTCCTATCAGAAGGCTGAGCCGAGGCTCCGACCCTGGCAGGCACTGTGTCCAGCCTGCTACTCTTCCCTGTATCACACCCACCCCTCCTCCTCTTCTTCCTCTTTCTCCTTCAACACCCCCTTCCTTCCTGGGCTCTCTCCTCTCCCCCTTGGACTTCCTTGGGATGCGGCCATGTGAGGGTGGGCTGTGTAGGTGCCAGGGCCGCTCTCCTGTGTGTGTGGGGGGGGGATTTAGGAGCACACCTCTGCCTTGGGTAGCCCAGCCCACCTCGCCCAGGCAGAGGGCCGTGTGCAAGTCCTATGGGATGGGGTGGGAGCGAGACCAGGCTCTGATATTGGAGTCTCAGACCCAACCTGGTTAGCCTCTCCCTCCTAAAAGCCAGCCTCTACCCTGGACACCCCCTCACCTCCCAGGCCACACATCTCTACAGGAGGGACTCAGGGTGGGGTTGGGATGTATGGGGAAAGTCAACCACGGCTCTGCACTCACATGCCAAGGGGCAATTTCTCTTCAGGGCACCCCTACCCCAGCAAGAAAGGACCAGGTGTAATGAAGCTCTCCACAGGGGACTGGGTGGCTTATAGACAACAGGAAGTTCTCGCCATTTTGGAGGCTGGGAAGTCCCAGGTCAGGGTCCTGGCAGACTCAGTGTCTGGCAATGGCCAACTTTCCAGGTCATTGCTGCTTCTTCAGATGGTAGAAAGGTTGAGAATTCAGTCCTTTGGCCTTAGTTTAATCAATTCATTAATTAATTTATTTTGTGGTACTGGGGATTGAACCAGAGGTGCTTGGCCACTCAGCCACGTCTCCAGCCCCTTTTCAAAATTTTCTTTTGCAACAGCATCTTGCTAGCTTGCCGAGGCTGGCCTATGAACTTGCAATCCTCCTGCCTCAGCCTCCCCAGTCACATCCCTGGGTCCTGCATCTTGGGCCTATTTTATAAGGGTTCTAATCCCACTCATCAGGACTCTGCCCCTGTGACCTAATGACTTTTCAGAAGTCCCCACCTCCTAATACCATCACTTTGGTATTTCAATATACCAATTTTAAGGGACATGAACGTACGTACCACAGTATGTGTGATCTTCCTGTTGGTGCCTGTGTTAGAAATCTGGAAAGGCAGAACAACTAACTGTGTGTGTGTGTGTGTGTGTGTGTGTGTGTGTGTGTGCGCACGAGGTATACTAGTGCAAGTGTGACCATGGCTTGGCTGGGACTGCTTGCACATGCTCAACGCAGCCGATCAGACTGCAGAGTGTATTCACACGCTGTGAGGCTGTATTCTTGTGTCCTAAGCAGGGCGAGAAGAGTTTGCTTTAAAGCCACCTGCACCCGAACCGGAGGGTCTTAGCCCCTGCAGAGCCTTCTCCACCTTTCCCCCTTAGGGAAAACAGGCTGCACACTGCCCTTGGCATTTCACCTCACCTGGAACCCCAGGCATGTCCGAGCACCTGCAGACATTTTGCAGTCCCCTGCATCTCTCTCACCTGTGAGCATCTGGAGACCAGAGGCTGGCCCTGGTGGGTGAAGGGAAGGGGACAGGGCCAGATGGAGACCATCAGGCTGAGGTCTAATCTTGAGCCAGATTCTGCCCCACCAGGGAACGGTGCTCCCACCCCCATCAGCTACCACCTCCTCCACAGGAGTAGATACACCAGTGGGGAGGGGACAGGCAGTAAGTACTGAGCAGATTCCCTTCCTGCCCATCCTCAGGCCTTTCCAACCTTCTGCTTACCAAAGGGACAGCCTTCAATCACACCTCAGAAGACAGACCCCAGATATATTCACTGGGACAAGTTGGGTCCCTGCACAGCCCCATTTCCAAGTCGTTGTGGTTTTCTTCTCATTTTGAGATCCCCCCCCATTCAGCCTCACCCACATCCTCCACAGGGGGCCGCGTCCCCAGTGCCCAGCACCGAGGCAGCAGTGGGGGTGGAAGATGTGCGAGGAGGAGAAAGGCCTTGTTCACCCCTTCTAGCTCTTCGACCCCTTCCCTGCTTCTGCAGGAGATTCACAATCAGTTGGTACATCCAGAGGGGTCTGCGGCTTGGCCTCCCCCGCCCCTTCACACCTCGCCCACCTTCACACGGAGGGTCCAGGTGTGTCCAGGCTCCTGTCTGCAGAGTTTGAGCTCCAAAAGAGAGCACGGACAGAAGTCTAATACTCCCACGCCTTAGGCAAGTCATGAATTCCGTATATTCCTATTCCTGTTTAAAGAGAGAGAGAGAGAGAAAGAGAGAGAGAGATTGATTCAAGGGAAGGGAAGGAGGGAGGGAGGGAGGGAGGAAGGGTGTGGGCTGCCAAGGGTGGAATTTGAGGCCATGCAATGCAATGTATTCCAGCCAGGTGGTACACAGGCCTGTGATCCCAGCAACTCAGGAGGCTGAGGCAGGAGGCTCGTAAGTTTGAGGCTAGCCTCAGCAATTTAGGAAGACCCTAAGCTAGTTAGGTAGAGCATTGGTAGAACATCTCTGGGTTCATATTCCAGATCTTGACCTTGGGCTAGTTGCTAACCTCCCTCTGTCTGTGTTCCCATCTGCAAATGGGGAGATAACCATGATTACTTCACAGGGTGAGGAGGTCTGAATACTTGGCACCCACCAGTGTGTGTAAGTGTGAAGTATCAGGATGTGTGGCTTTTCTGTTACGAAAAAAAAAAAAAGACAACAAAAAACAACCAAGATGATCTTAGTGCCTCTCAAATCATCTGCATGCAAGTTCAGCCTGGCTGCCCGGCCCAGACTGGGTACAGATGGGTGGTGACCCAATCAAAGTCTTTGGAACATGAATGAGGATTGTGTCTGACTCGGCCAGTTCAGTGGGAGTTCCCTAAAGTGCCCTTTCCCCTGGAAGAGGGCAGGAAAGCCCTGTGGTTGGGTGGGGTGGTCACGAAGGAGGTGGCCACCGGCCATCAAAATGAAGCTGGAGGGCTGGACAAGCGCGTGTCACCACCCAATCTGACCCTCCCATTGTACAGCTGGAGAAAACGAGAGTCTTAGCCTCTGGTGAGTATTGAAGACCTTCGAGACTCAGCTTCCTTACCTTTGAAGCAGAGGTAGTAATGGCAGCTCTGCCCAGCGGTTTCGCATGTGCAGGAGGCAGCTAGGGTGGGAAGACGAAGCCCTTGAGAGGTGGGCTCCTGGCCTCAGAAACAACCATGGAGGGGCTGGTGCAGTGGCGCACACCTGTAATCTCAGCGGCTCAGGAGGCTGAGGCAGGAGGATCGCAGGTTCAAAGCCAGCCTCAGCAAAAGCGAGGTGCTAAGCAACTCAGTGAGACCCAGTCTCTAAATAAAACACAAATTACGGCTGGGGATGTGGCTTAGAGACCAACTGCCCCTGAGTTCAATCCCCCATACCAAAACAAAAACAAAAAGAAAATATCGTGGAGGGGCCCAGAGCCTGTCAGGCAAAGTTAGGGGTGGGTCCATGCAGGGGTCTGGCAGGGCCAGGCCAGTTTGCTTGTGTCTGAGTCGGATTGGCCTCTGCCTGGCCTTTCACGAGGGGGCAGGGCAGTCCAGGGCTCCCCCATGGGAGTGTGGGAAAGGAGGAGCTGGGTTGTTGAGGCCTCACCTGGAGGCTGGTTTTGCAGCACCTGCCCTGTTCCGTGCCCTTTCCTGAATCATATTAGTGCTGTGTCCCAATTTCTAAGAATGTAGACCTCCTTTGGGGACTAAACTCATCATGGGACTAAAAACTCAATTTGATTCTCTGCTAAAGCCATGTCTTCTGAGGAAACACTGCACAGATGTTGCCATCTGATGGATCTGAATTTGAATCTTGATTTTACCACGCATCGGTCCAACGTTGGACAAGTCTGGCTCTGAGAACCTCAGTTTCTGCATTTGTAAAGCCGGGAAGGGCATCTCTGCTTGCAGGCTCGTGGTGAAGATTAACTGAGTCATCATTTCCTTTCACAAATCTTTATTGAGCATCTACCTTCATCAGGCTTTGAAGATGCAGGAATGAATTCAAAATGGAGAGATTGGTGTGCACCCATGTGGCATTCAGGCCAATAGTGACCCCCAAATCTATGCTACCAATTGTGTTGAGTGTTATGCTGGAAAAGTGGTTTGAATCCAGTTTTATCCTGGGATTTAAACCCAGAGGCACTTTATCACTGAGCTACATTTTTATGTTTTATTATGAGATAGGGTCTTGCTAAGTTGCCACGGGTCTCACTAAATTTCTGAGGCTGGCCTCAAACTTGCAATCCTCCTGCCTCAGCCTCTGGAGTCACTGGGATTACAGGCATGTACCCCCTGGCCCAACTAGTTTTGTTTGGTGTTTTGTTTTTGTGCTACTGGGGATTGAACCCAGGGCCTTGTGCATGCTAGGAAGCACTCTACCACTGAGCTCAGTTTTGAAGGATAACTAACTGTTATTCATTTCATCAAATCTAAATGCTATTGATTATTCACATTATTTTATTTATTTGTTTATTTATTGGCGATTGCAGATTGAACCCAGGGGTGCTCTACCACTGAACAATATCCCAGCCTTTTTTTTTTTTTTTTAACTTTGAGACAGGGTCCCACCAAGTTACCCAGTTCGACCTTGAACTGTCCATCTTCCTGCTTTAGCCTTGAGTTGAGTCCCTAGGATCACGGGCATGCACCACCACACCCTGTACCACACTATTATTATAGATAACACTGAGAAAGGAAAACTCATCCAATTAACCATGACACAGCGACTTCTCGTATGCAGAAATGTTATTTTGTGCTTTCTGAAAGAGCTCTCTTAGATTTCCTTCAGCCCAGGAAGGGCTTTGTTTTAAATTTCCTACTTAAAACAAAGAAGGACCTGTATCGGCAGAGATGAGAAGAGGGTGGTAAAATCCAAGAGAAATCCACCTTGCCCTGCACAGGCTGGCCTGCTGTGAAGTTCCAGTCTGTGGCCCATGGACTTCTAGGCGCTGGTCCAGTGGAAAGGAAAGACAGGACAAAAGGGTCTCGAAGGCTGGCTTGGAAAGAAGGGTGAGAAGGAGTCCTGGCTGAGTGGTCAGGATGGGCTCAGCTCCTGGTTGAGTAGAATGGCCAGAAGGAGAGCTAAAATGCCAAACTGAAGGGCTTGTTCGACAGCCATGATTGTGAAATGCAGCCTGTTGTCAGAAATTTAAAAGGTGCACCTTGCCCAGAAGCAGGGAGCATCCCTCGCTCCCAGATCTTCGTTTCTAAATACCACTCTTCACACAAGGGAACTGGGGCATTGTGGGAAACAGCTAATTCTAGAGCCAGCTCAGAGAAAGTACAAGACAAACCTGGACTATCTGGTTGTGCCAGAAAACGAGGATATGCTAAAAATGATAATAATAATAATAATAATAACAACAACAACAAATAAATAAGCCAGGTGTGGTAGTTCACACCTGTAATCCCAGTTACCCTGGAGGTTAGGACAGAGGATCACAAGTGCAAGGCCAGTCTTGTCAACTTACTGAGACAGTCTCAAAATAAAAAAGTAAAAAGGACTGGAAATGTAACTCAGGGGGAGAGCACCGCTGGGTTCAATCCCAGGACTGCAAAATAAATTAATTAAATTAAATTTTTAAAGGGTTGTAGCTCAGTGGTAGAATACTTGCCTAGTGTGTTCAAGATCCTGGGCTCATGCTGGGGTTGTGGGTCAGTGGTAGAGCGCTTGCCTCACATGCATGAGGCCCTGGGTTCGATCATCAGCACCACATTTAAAAAAAAAAATAGATAAATACAAATAAAGGTATATTAAAAAAAGAAAGATCCTGGCTCAACTCACAGGACCAAAACCAAACAAACAAATAAATAAAAAATAAATTAGATAAATGGGGAGTTGTCAGTAGGTACAGGAGCCAGCATAACTGGGTTTCCCTGGACAAATTTGGCCTTATTTATACGAAGTAAATAATGAGAAGGACAGATTATAACTCAAAGAATTATATAAGAATCCATGGATTCCTTTTGATTTAAATAAAAGAATGAATAAACAATGTTTGGGGGTCTGGGGATGCAGCTCAGTGGTAGAGCCTTTGCCGAGCATGCTTGAGACCCTAGGTTTCAACCCAGCACCACAAATAAAGAAGAAGAAAAAAATCCATCCAACAACAACAATAAATGGGGAAGGAAAGAAGCTCTTCTTTAATGTAGAATGCAGAAATAATAACAGAATTTTCACATTCTGCTGTCATATATAACACATTAGAATAAATAAATAAATTTAATTTAAAAAAACCAAAATTTTCAAATCATCATTTAAGGCTGGGCACAGTGGTGCGCGCCTGTAATCCTAGCAGTTCAGGAGGCTTGAGGCAGGAGGATCACAAGTTCAAAGCCACCCTCAGCCATTCAGCAAGGCCCTAAGCAATTTAGTTAAGACCCTGTCTCAAAATAAAATATAAGAGGCTGGGATTGTGGTTCAGTGGTAGAGCACTTGCCTTGCATGTGTAAGACCCTGGGTTCGATCCTCAGTACCACATAAAACAAAAATAAATAAAGGTATTGTGTCTATCTACAACTAAAAATATTAAAATAAAATATAAAAAGGGCTGGGGGTGCTGGGGCCTTAGCTCAAAGGCAGAGCACTTGCCTAGCATGTATGAGGTACTGGGTTCGATCCTTAGCACCACATAAAAATGAAACAAATAAAATAAAGGCATGCTGTCCATGTACCACTACAAAAAAAATAAAAATTAAAAAAGGGGGTGGGGAAGTGACTCAGAGGTTAACTGTCCCTGGGTTTAATCCCCAGTACCAAAAATAAATAAAATAATTGCTTGACTATCACCCTAATATTAATCATTTCAGGCAAAATTCATCAATGGAGGCTGCAACTACAGGTTGAGCATTCCTAATCTGAAAATCCAGTATCTGAAATGTTCTACCCAAGACCTCAACTTTTTGAGTGTTATGTCAGTGTTCAAAAAACTTTGAATTTTGAAGCATGTCAGATTTTGGATTTTCAGATTAGAGATGTTCAGTCAGTAAAGTCAATATGAATATTCCAAAATTCTTAAAACTCCCAAATTTAAAACACTTCTGGTCCCAAGCATTTTGGATAAGGGATATTCAACATGTAATGGGTGATAGGAAACAAGACATTTTCATATCTCGAAATATCTCCCCAAAGAAATCTGCTGATGACAAATCAAATCTGGATTCTGAGAAAAGTAGCAAACATGGAGTGATCCAAGTTCATACCAGTAACGGGACAATAAGGTGTCTCTCCATGGGATGCCCTGAGATGGCCACGACAGCATCTGTGTGCAATCCCTGACCCCCAAATCTACAGGACTTGAATCTAACCAAGCAGGAATACCACCAGACAGACCCACGTGAAGTATATTCCTCAAAATCAGTGGTCTGTCCCCTAAAGAAATTTCAAGGTCATGAAAGACAAGGAAGGGCTGAATAGTACTAGGCTAAAGGATATCGAAGAGACATGGCAACTAAACACAACATGTAGGCTTACTAGGCACTGGACCAGAGAAAGTTTCTTCTTTTACTATAAAGGACTTTAGTAGGACAGTTGGAGGCATTTGAAAAATGTCTGTGGGCTGGGGCTGTGGCTCAGTGGAAGAGCACTTGCCTAGCATGTGTGAGGCACTGGGTTCGATTCTCAGCACCACATACAAATATATGAATAAAATAAAAGTCCACTGATGTTTTTTAAAAAAAAAAGAAAGAAAAATGTCTGTACATCAGACAATAGAACGGTAGCCATGCTAATTTTCTGATTTGGATAAACATACTGTGGTTATTATGTAAGTGAATGACCTTGTTTTTTTTTTTTTTTTAGAAATGCACATAGAAATATTTAAGGATAAAGAGATATATATGTCACCTACTCTCAATCAGTTCAGAAAAAAAAAAGTAAGTGTACACACCTACTTCCTGTACATATAAAGAGAAAAGGTTGATTAAAAAGAGAGAAAAGAGGAGGAGAGTGGCTCAGTGGTAGACTGCTTGCCTAGCAATGCATGAGGGCCTGGGTTCAATCTTCAGCACTGAAAAAATAGAGAGAGAGAGAGAGAGAGAGAGAGAGAGAGAAGAGGGAGATGGATAAAATGGTAATATGCTAAAACTGTTTAAGAATCAACTCTCAAGGGGAAAAAGTCCAGATACCAATTTCTGGGGTGCTCTTGTCCACGGCCAGTTTCACACTGGCATCGCAAAGTCCTGAAGAGGGAGTTGGGAAGGAACCCAGCAACCAGCTCAAACGCAAGCAGGGTAAAAGGCTAACGTTCAGGGAAAACAAGCAAAGGGAAGACGGGGATTATTTGTATGATTTTTTTTGCAACTTTTATGTATTCTGATATTATTTCAAAATCGACAGTTTAGTGTTTCATAAGTAACTTACAGTGAAGGAGTTACAGTAACTGAACTTGGGAAGAGAGTGCATGGCCCCTTCAGGTAGAGGTGATCCATTGTGTGCAGAAGCCTTGTGGATGGAGAAAGCACAATTCATTCAGAAAACAATAATAAAGAAAGACTGCCCCCTCCCACCCGGGGCGGGGGGCGGGCAATGGCACAAGCCTGTGATTCCAGCCGCTCAGGAGGCTGAGGCAGGAGGATCCCAAGTTCAGAGCTATCCTCAGCAATTCATGGAGGCCCTAAGCAACTCAGTGGGACCCTGTCTCTAAATAAGATACAAAATAGGGCTGGGGATGTGGCTCAGTGGTTAAGCACCCCTGAGTTCAATCCCTGGTACCCAAAAAAAGAAAGACTGAGTAGCTGGGGCCTAGACATGCAAAATGAGCCGAGAGGTGGGCAGGGGCCAGGACCAGGAGGTCTGTAGGCCCAGCCAGGATTTGGGTCCTTGTGCCCAGAGCAGGAGGAGCCATCCCATCCCTCTAAGCAGCGGGTGAGGAATGTGACCTTATTGGCCTTCATCCCTCTGAACCCTGTGCTCCCTCGGTAAACTGGGGAGTGGGACATTACTGCTACCTTTTCTGGTTGACTCTACCCTCACATCCCCCAGGGGTCTTTTTGCTCAATTGGAGTTGAGAGGAGTTGACGTGGACAGGGCCCAGCACCCCCCACAGGCTGCTAGTGAGTTCTGATAACCCAGGCCAGTCCCACCTTCTCCCCTCAGACTTATTGGAGGCCTCCCCTTCTCCACCAGCCTCCTGCAGCCTGTCTTGAACATTCAAGTCAAACCTCTCACTTTGAAAGTCCAGAGCCCTGTGGGATTGGAGGGGGCTGAGTTCAAGGTGGAATGAATGGGCTGTTTGAAGGGTTCTCCCTGGGCAACCTCCAGGCTTGGGACAGTCTGAGTGGTTGTGGGCTTCCTTTTTTCCAGATGAATCACTCTGTGTGTCTAGGACTGGTGAGCTGTCCCCTGACATGTGGGGCCCCTGCATAACATTGTGTCACCCAGCTTCTCCTGTGTGGATACCCTGAACCTGGCCTCCAGGAACTGGCGTTAGCTGTGTGCCACCAGCTCCTCAGATCTGTCACCATGCAGTCCACGTCCCACCCGTGAGCAGCACCGCGAGCGGGCACACTGTTCTGTCCACCCTGCAAGAGAGCAAACTGAGGCTGGAAAGGCTTCCAGGCATATCTGAGTTTGCAGAGCTGACCCAAAGATTCAACCCTGTTCAACCTTGACCTCCCCAGCCTGCACTGCCCACAACCCCACCCTTCCTCTGTCTGGTGGCCCCTGTGCCACTGTCTCTTGGCTTGGGCATTAGCATCCAGGCCCTATGGACAAGAATACTGAGGGCCCTGCTGTACAGGAAGGGGTTAACTGGGATGCCCTCAGCAAGCTCTGGTTTGATGGAGGCCAGTTGCCATGGCAACAGAAGGTTTGAGGATAAGGGAGGCCAGCAGGATCTTCTGAATCACTAGATGCACAGCCCCTCTGCTGATTCTGTGGTGAAACCCTCCCGGGATCGTCTGGGACTCCACATAACCACCAGGTGTGCTGGGCAGGGCCGAGGGCAGGGGTTCCCTGAATCAGCAAGGCCAGGCGGCCTGGGCTCTGCTGCAGTCTCTCCCCCAGGCAGCTTCAGCCAGCTCTGCCCAGGGTGCCTTTTCCACCAGGAAGTTCCCAGGGCTCCTGCTTTTAGCTCAGAGCCACCTGGACTGGGCGAAACCAGGAAAGAGCAAAGATTTGGGTCCAAAAGAAGTCGATCCATCGTTCCTTGATTTATTCACTTGCTAGATATCCACTGCTCGCTGACACTACAACAGTCACTGTGTTAGGTTCTGTGATGGGGTTACAGCCACGAGTCGGACTTGCTTTGCTCTCATGAAGCTTCCCTTCCAGCGGGTGAGAAGTCCCCAGCCAGCCCCTACTTTGGGCAAATCCCAGCAGCTCAGGAGGCTGAGGCAGGAGAATCAAGAGCTTAGAGCCAGCCTCAGCAATTTAGTGAGGACCAAAGCAACTCAGTGAGACCCCTGTCTCTAAATAAAATACAAAAAAGGACTGAGATGTAGCTTGAGCACCCCTGGGTTCGATCCCCAGTACCAAAAAGAAAGAAAGAAAAATAGCCCACCTTGCAGGGATGCTGTGTAGATGACAAATTTGAAGCATTTACCTGAACACCCAGCACATAGTAGGACCAAAGGTGCAGTGATGATATTGATGCCCAGAGGCTTCTCGCCTTTCACTCTAGCATCAGAAGCTCCAGGAGATGATAAAACATGAAAAAGGGGCTCCAGGTTGTGGTCCCTGCAGGTTACTTTGAGCCACATCTCAACACTGACCCCCTTAGCAGACCCCACTCTTCCATCTTTGTGCAGGTGAACTTGGCCTCAGTTTACCCATCTATAGTGCAGGGGTGACCCTCTAACACTTATAGGAGACAATGTACCTTAATGGCTGGTCAGTTCCAAAGTGGAATCTTGACCACTCTGTTCCACCATCTCGGCCACTCTAGGTTAGAAGAGACCCAGGCTCCTGATGATAAGACCCCATGCTGGCCACCCACTCCTGCCCAAATTAATTTTAGCTTATAACAGGGATCTCAGAAGCATTCAATCTGATTCAAGTTTGATTTCCTAAGCTGAACTACCCTAGCCCAAGGACTAATGCCTATACAGGACTCTGTCCCCCGCCTCCCTGCTCATCTTGTCCCTGATCAGCCTGGAGCTGGTGTGCCTTGGAGGATGAAGCAAGCAAGCTCACTAGTCTTGGTGAGAAAGAACTTAAGTCAGTGACCCTGTTTCATGGAGGGACTCTTTAGCTCAGAGCCACCTGGACAAGGTCAGCTCAGAAATGATTCTACCACAGCCCACCACTAGGCAGGAAGACCAGCTGGGGGTGTGAGCTGATTACAAATAGGAGCAATGTGCAAAACAAACCCACACAAGGAAATCAGCAAAAGAAGGAGAAACCCACCTAAGAATTTCATATTGCATATTTCAAAAACTGAAAGATTTCAAAGTGGTCATCTTGGAATCATGCAAAGTGTGGAAGGGCTCCCTCACATTTATTTGTAGCTTATATTTGATTATATTTTTGCACTTCTCCTTGGGGGTGGAGATGCCCAGTCTTTTCAGAGCTTAATGCCTCTAAAAGTCTTAATCAAGGCCTGGGAAATGGAAGTGGGGCTCACAGTCGGTGGGCTCCCCTCAAGTCTGTTCTGCATGACAGCTCTCTCCCTTGGAGGGTGAGGAGGGAAGATGTTTTTCCTCTCACTTCAGACTCACTCCAAAGGAGGCCAGATTAAGCCTGGTTGGAGGTGATATTAATGAGTTATCCAGGATTTTCTTCTCTTCCCCAATCTTGAATTTTCTTCTCCTCCGTTGGGTGTCAGAATCCACGTTTATACCAGGACAGTGCTTGCAGAGCAGCGCAGGGCTGTCATTTGTTTATGAAATTCTTTCTAGAAGATCAGTGGGCTGGCAGGAAGCTGGGGGGTGGGTGGCTACAAGATTGGCAGAGGAACCGGAGATCCAGAAGCTTCCAGCCAGGCTGGCCCCTAAACTGGAAAATCTTTAACAAAGGATCCAGCAAACCACGAAGAAGAGGAAGGCAGGCAGACGCCCCAGTAAACACATTCCCCTGTGGGGTGGTCAGAACACTTGGGCAGCAGAGAGAAAGAACCAGGATGCGAGAGAGGGGCGGGCAGACCAGGGAGAATGTCCCAAGTAAACTGTTTTGTTTTGTTTTGTTTTTCTGTACATCTTCCTTTTTATTTTATCTTTTGGTCCTGGGGATTGAACCCGGGGGCACTTTACCACTGAGCTTCACCTTCAGCCCTTTATGTTATTAACATCTTAATCATCATCATCATTCAGGAACACATCAGCGTTACCCAAAGTCCATGGTTTACATTGGGCTCACTCTTGGGGCTGTGTGTATATTCCATGGGTTTAGGCAAATGCACAATGACACAGGGCCATTGCAGCGTCCTTCAGAGCAGTGACATATCTCTGATTATCGATAGACCCCCAAACCCCTGGCATCCACTGATCTTTTTACTGACTCCACGGTTCTACCTCTTCTAGTGGGTCGTGTACTTGGGAGTGATACCAAGTGTAGCCTTATCAGATTGGCTCATCTCACTCAATCAGATGCACTGAAGTCTCCTTCATATTCCATAACTTAATACTTCATTTCCTTTGGTGCTGAATACGATTTCATTGTCTGGCTGTATCACCGTTTATTTATTCATCCACCTACTGAAGGACATCTGGATTGCTTCCATGTTTTGTGAATTACCATACATGTCCATGGGCAGGTTTTTGTAGGGACTTAACGTTTTTGATTGATGTCGGCAAATACCAAGAAGTTCCGTGGTGGGATTCTGCAGTAGAGTATGTCTAGTTTTATAAGAAGCTGCCCAACTGTCTTCCCACCGTGGTGCTACCATTTTACATTCTCGCCAGCAATGAGTGAGAGTTCCTGTTGCTCCTCATCCTCGCCAGCATTTGGTGTTGTTAGGTTCTGGGTTTCAGCCATTCTGATAGATGCATAGTGATATCTCAATATTCTTGTTGTTTGTTTTTTATTTTAGTACTAGGGATTGAGCACAGGGCCTCTTACATGAGCTCTACCACTGAGCCACACACCTCGCTCCAAAGCTCCAATGTTGTGGTGGTGGTGGTGTTTTTCTGGATCCACACATTGAGCCCAGGGGTGCTGAACCCCTGAGCCACATCCCCGGCCCTTGTTATTTTTCATTTTGAGAAAGAATGTTGGTAAGTCCTTAAGGTCTCAATAAGTTGTTTAGGCTGGCTTTGAACTCATGATCCTCCTGCCTCAGCCTCCACTGTGCCCAGTTACAGTATTGTTTTAATTTGCAATTCCCTAATGACACCAGGTTGAACATCGTTTCAGATGCTTACTTGCTACTTGAACATCTCCTTTGGTGACGTGTTCATTCAGGTCTTTTACTTACTTTTTATTTTTTTATTTTTTAAGATTTAATGCAAGGGTGCTTTGCAAGTGTGTTTTACTTCTTACTTTACTTCTTAATTTTTATTCTAAGACAGGGTCTCACTAAGTTGCTTAGGGCTTCGAAAAGTTGCTGAAACTGTCCTTGAACTTGTGATTCTCCTGCCTCAGCCTCACAAATAGCTGGTATTACAGGGATGCACCACTGTGCCCTTATCTCCCTGTTTTAGTTTCATTCTCCCTACCAAACTGAACAAACTCCTGTCTCAGTGTCTGCTTCAGACCAACAGACGTAGTCAAAGGGAAGGGGAGTGGAGGACCCATTTAAATTGGGCGGCCAGTGTTCTAGTTTGGATAGGATGTATCTCCCACCCCCAAATCTTCTGTTAATGCAGGAATACTCACTGGTAAAATGATCAGATTACAGGCAGGTGCTGTGGCTGAGACAGGAGGATCCCAAGTTTGAGGCCAGCCTCAGCAAATTAGTGAGGTCCTGTCTCAAAATAAAAAAATAAAAAGGGCTAGGGATGTAGCTCATAAAGTGCCCTGGGTTAAATCCCCGCTATCAAAAAACAAAACAAAAATAATAAAATACAATATAACGGTTGTTTCCTGAGAGTTCACAGGTACTGACGATGTGGTTACTGCAGGCAGGTGGGGGTGGCTGCAGGAGGTGGGTCACTGGGGGTGTGTCCTAGAAGGGTGTATCTCCCCTGTGGTCACTTCGCCCTTATCTCTCTCTGCTTCCTGACCCTGGCATGAGCTAAGCAGCTTCCCTTCAGCCATGATGTGCGGCCTCACCTTGGGCCCAGAGCAGAGGAGTTGCCCACCTGTGAACTTCTGAAACTGTGAGCCCCAAAGAAACTTTTCCTTCTCTAAGTCGTTCTTGTCAGGTATGTTGGTCACAGTGACAAAAAAAAAAAAAAAAAAAAAAAAAAAAACTAACTAAAGAAGCCAGGGAAGGCCTCATTGATAATGTCATTATGTTGGACTGACATCAGGAGCCAGGATAGCACAGGGGACCAAGAGAGGGGATGGTGGGTGTGCAGGTTCTGGGCTATGACTGAGACCGGAGGTGCCCAAGGAGTGAAAGGAGATCAAGCCACAAAGTGTCCAAGATTGGAGTTGGGGCATGTGGTGTAGGCCAGTAAAAATTTGAGCAGGGCATGGTGGC